TCGTATTGTTTTCTATGTGGTGGGGGGGGGGTATCACATCAAGTCATAAATTACTAACCGGGAAAATTATTACCTTTGCCGCCACCCCCCTGACCCAAGACCCCTGTTACGCGCCTGCTTATAAGTGGGGCCCCCCCACTTTGAAAAACGTTCCGCCGGCCCTGTTTTAGATTATTGTACAGATTTGTACCACTATCTTTCTTATAACAGAATTGAATTAATTTGTACCTTGATGAATTATTTGTAGCAATTTGTCTTGTAATATAGAGAAATAATTTAAATCTTCTAGTTTTCTGCAAGTCTGTTAAACTACAATACATTATCACCATACCAAAGAGGATGTTAAAGTGCCAAATGTTCTTTCATTTTTATCTAGTGTCCTTTTAATTTCACAACATTAACTGTTAAATTTTTGAATAAGAATAAATAGCTGTAAAATTGTTTTAAAGTAATATGAATTGTGATGATTGTGTTTTAAATAGTTAAAATTACTGGTGTTTTCATAAGGTACTGGAGCAGGTATGAGTAGAGATGAGGGCAAGCCTAAACAAACTCAAATGTTTCGAAACACATTTCCTGGTTACGGTTCATTAATATGCAAATTCTCGCACCTGGCTAATCCCGCTAGTCTGAACGGCCAGCATAGTTAAGCCAGGTTTAATGTTGACCACGAGCTTGTGCTTCTATAAACTACAATTTCATTCGTGAAAATAACCAACAAAATGAAAAGCTATAGCAAATAAAAATTTACGATTTTTATAAAAAATGATGTTCTTATATAACATTAAACTGTCATTTTGACAATGTTGGACTAGGGTGCACAAAACGACCACTTGAGTAGATACAGAAATTTTATTTATTTTTTCTGCGAAGTGAGTCCCATGAACCACCGGACACCACATCATGGGTAAAATTAATGTTGAAATAACGAATATAATTTCAGTCTAATGTCAGTGCAACAATTCAACAACTCATTAGGCCTTGGTAACCACCGCACGACCGCGATTTTCATCGCAACTGACCTAATAATAAAAAAATAAAACCACAAATTAAAAATTCGATTTTCCTGTGACAAAAACACACAAACATTCACGCATACAGAAAATAAATAGAAGCTAATACTACTACTAAGTGCTACTGAACTATGCTCTAATAGTAACATATCAACAATAATTTGCGTCAGAAAATTCAATAGGGATGTTTTGCCCTCCTAAATAAAACATCCAGATAGAGCAAAAACACCATCCCTTTTTATCAATTACTTAAATAGTCATGACCTGCTATTTGAATGTAAAACTTCAAACACAATGATCAGGTCTACAGGTGAGTCAAATCAATATCATACAGTCAGTTCATTTCCGAGATTTCACATTTAGAAGTTGTGATTATCGTTGACATATACCACTTCTTAAAAGTTTACCCTTGGCAATATTATTATTTCCAAAATTAAATTCCAAAATAAGGATTGAGTTAATGGTTAGGTTGAAGAATCATTGTGATACAGACAACCAATAGCATGCTTTCAACCCGAATAACCGATATGAAGAGGAACTTCAAAATTTAAGAACTCAACACATGGCAAGTTCTAGCTAGATGAAGGGGACATTTCTGAACCGTTTACTAATATCGATAATGATGTAGGCATAGTGGATGCTACCGATGATGATTAAGTGTCCAGTTAATGAACTTTAAGCCCTGTCAAGACCCAAATTTTATTTGGCATTCCTAAATATGATCATGATGCCATCCCCACGACCTTACAAGCACGCCAGACTAAGACCTTCCCACCGTTCGCCATGGCTTATTAATAGGTCCATAGTCAGGGAAGAGATGAAATATTATTTTAAAAGTATTAAGTGCTAAGTGCAGTGACCAAGTCATGAGTTTGTAGATTATTTCGTTTACACCACATGAATTTGTTATTGTTCTACGTTTTGGTCTCCTCAATGAATACATTTAGAGTGTGTTTTGCCAATGTCATTTAATTTTGTATACACAAAATACAAATACAAAATGTTAGGCCTATAATAGTTTTTAACGCAACAGAAACTGAACGCGTATTTCAGGGCATCTATCAAGTTTAGTGATTCGGGAGAGTGCTATCCAACATATCTTCCCTTCCTATCGCCGCATTATTTATTGTCCCTCACTTTCGACTATTCTGAGAAACTGGTACCCTCTCGATTAAATATTTTAGACATCACTACATTCCAGCTTATGCTTACATGCATATTAAAGTGTTTAGTTTGATGGCACCAAGGAAATGAAACCAACTAAGCGTGGAGATATGTAATTTTGCTGTTATAGGCTTATGTCTATCCGGGATGCACGTCGCATTCTTCCAAATCACACGAATCTTGAAAGACTTCCTTATAATGAAAAGAATTGTAGTAGGCCTACGTCTCCCTCAAATTGCAGACCACATTTGCGACCGGGGGATTCAATGGTCTTTAGCAGTTTTGGTCTGTAATTAGAATAATAAAGACAATAGAAATTTGTAAATTCAATTACTGACCATAATTACATACAATTCCGTAACCAGCTATTGGGACAGTTGGGACAGTCCCACACAATTTTTCTAATGGGTCCACAAAGAATGGGTCTACATTTTAATAATGGGTCCAGATTTCTCATATTTTGTGTAAAATGGGTCAATTTTAAAAAAAAATGGGTCCAAATTATTCATATTTTTGCATAAAATTGGATAACTTTTAAGAAAATAGGTCCATATTATTTGAATTTATACGTAAAAGTGGGTGCACTCTGATATTGTCCCACACTGTTTGAAAATCCTGGCTACGGCATTGATTACACAATTATTTTGGAATGTCTGTCTGTGAATCCGTTCTCTTATGTTTCTGATATACCGTATATAATATACCAGTTGGTTAAAGCGTCTCGTAGACAACTGAAGGTCCCGGGTTCGAATCTCGGTTTGGGAAACTTGTTCGTACTCGCACATTCCCTTTCTTTGCCCAAAAGGAAATTTGTTGAGTTAGCATAGCTCATAAAATACTAATACAGAACATGTAGCGCTAGGTACACATTGGCGTAACAAAAAGGTACGAGTCCCCACGCTAAGGCTTCTTCGGGGCACTACTGGAGCCGCCCCTGGCATTACCACGAACAACGACATAACATACAATTTGGGACCATTAGGTCGATAGAGTTTGCTAAGTGGTCCCTTTAAAATATTTTAGACATCACTACATTCCAGCTTGTACTTAAAGTATGCGTATTAACTACGTTTTCAAAAAATTAGAACTTCATTTTGGGAAACTAGATCTACATTTTGAGAAATTTACGCCTAGGTTTTGATAAATTAGACATTGAATTTTGCAATTACATTTTGATTTTAACATGGACTTTTGCTGCGTATGGCACCCCATAGTATTTATCCTAGATAACTTCCCTAAAAAATGAATGGGCTATAAGCCTAATTGTTCCGGTTTTTAAAAAATAGAAAAGAACAATCCAGAAAATTGCCGAGGGATCTCCTTAATTCCAATTTTAGGAAAAATTTTCTTTCAAATTCTCAGCTCAAGATTAACAAAATTTACAGAAGATAATAGTATTTTGTTTGAGGAACAAGCAGATTTTCGAAAAGAGTATCAAATATCTGATAATATATTTATTTTGGATACTAGCCTATTATTTCTAGATGGGGTTTAAGTTGCGTCTATGTGGTATTGAAAAACATATGTGTTGAGGAATTTAGTTTACATTCTAGGCTAAGGTTATTCATTCTGTATAAAAAAGAAGTAAATTTAAGTTATCATTATACAAATATTAGTAATTTTCAACGCAGACGGTTATTGACAAAGTTAAGATTAGGGATTTTGGAACTAGAGATTGAAAAAGGGAGGTGGGAAAATATTGATAGAGACAAAATGAACAATTTATTTATTTTTATCCATCTATTAACAAGCTCGGTTTATTATTTTCAAAAATATGTCCATACTAATCTGATTTAAAAGCAAATATATTCCACAATTTATTTATTTATTTATATCTAGTAACAAGCTCGGTTTATTATTTTTAAATACAAAATATATTAATATTTAGCAAAATACGTCTACTTTACGTTTGAAAAAAGGAAGAATGTATTATGTTACAGTAAATTATGTTTTGTATTAGGGCCGATGGTCCATGTACTTGAATAAATTACTTGAATAAATTCCCTGTATAAAGAAAGAAAGTAAAGTATTTGCAACTGAATTTGAACTTTAAAATGTAAGTTGGAATGTTGTTAGTTTTGTTTAGCTATTTGGAGAAACCTTTCTTGAATTGTAAATTGAATTATATTTCTTAATTTTTTATATGAATTTACTACCTTTTATATGTTGCAGTGTATAAACAAAGATTTTCTGATGTAATTTTTTTTATATATTGGACCAATAAAAATTGAATTGAATAAGAATATTGTCTGCCGATGGCACCAGCGTGATAATGTTCACGAGATAGCAGCTCTATTAATAGTGGTGGCGCGTACAGTTTGTGACGAATAATGTATGAATTGATAACATATT